TTGGCTTTAGTTTCCTCTTTTTGGGTCAGCACCTCCATTTTTCAGATGAGCATCTTAAAAGGATGCCTCTCTTTTCCATTTTAGCTTCCATCCCAGACATAACTGGGCATTGTGTTGCAGTGGGCAGTGATACGTCGCCCGGTGTCTATAATTTTGAATGAGGCTTGGTCAGAAGGCTCAGTTGTTTCTGTGAACCAGCACAGAGCTAGCCATGGAGGTTGCATAGATGTGGCCATCTCGATTCCCTTGAAAGACTGAGTTGCTGAGACTTCCCAAGACTTGGTCAAAGGATCCGCCCCATGTCTGAGCACAGGCAAGTCGAAACTGCATAGGGAAGTTCAGCCATGGATGGACAGGGAGCCAGTGTCAAAGAGGCAGAAACCAGAGACGCCTAAAGCAAACCACATTGCGTGTGTTGGGAAGAGAGTTGCTGAGGGACCACTTTCTAAACATATCTGTAGAAGAATCATTTCCTGTTTCACTCTGCATCTGTGTGTCCATTTAGGAGGCTGAGTTTTTACGGCTTTGTTTACAGTATTTGGGAGGCAGGGCTGGCTGCAGTAAAGGTGGCCTTAGACGGCAGGATTGCAGTTCTGTCCAAATGCGCTCTGACAGGTGCTGCAGGAGTAGGTAACGCACGTGTTTCACTTCTACATTAGCCTTAGACACTGCTCTTTTTCTGGTATCACTTGTGACAGTGGCTCTGAACTGGTCTATGTCTTCACCCCGGTGATTGCTCACAAGTATCATTTGGCCAGGGCTTATGGGAAGAACAAATGTGGCTGTACTGGAGTTTTAGCTTGGAAAATGTGGAGGCCCCCTCTTAAAACTGAGCGCAGGTGATGGGGGAAGATAGCTGGAAAACCGCTCACCTGGTTCCCTGCCACTGTTGAGGGATACACTTGAGATTCCCCCTGCCTGTCATTTCAGCAGTTAGTCTCCAGATAAATCCCCATCTAGTATTGTTACACGTCTCATCACTGTCCAGTTTCCTAGGTAGACACGTGTGCCAGCGGAAGAATCCCTGTCTCGTGGTCGCAGCTGTAAAACCTACGGCAACAGAGGTGATTGTTTTGAGAACCATCATGCTACTTGGGTCGCGTACCTACATTTTTATAAAGTCTAGGGTGGAGGGGGAGTGGGGGAGGGGAAGAATTTAACTTAAATTTAAATTTAAAAACCAGTGAAGGATAATTATTTTTCATGGATTGCACTCAAATGCATGTGTACTTTAGATCTGACTGCAAATGAAGAAATACTGGTTTATTCTTTGTATTAAAGGAAAAAGAAAAAAGACTGTCTTAATTATTTATAGTTGCCATAACTGAATTGACAAATGTCAACTTAACTGATAAATTATATTTGGTAAAATAAAGATGACATTTATTTATGTGGACCATGGCCTCCTTTCTTCATGAAGCTCTTGTTTCTGCACAGTTACCACACTTCCTGTTACCAGTTAAAACTGTCATCCTGAATGGGGGCAGCTGTCTTTTGTCATGTGCTGGGTGTGATCTTGCTCATCCCCTTGCCAGTTCTTCCATGATTCAGCTTCATTAGCTTCAGAGGGGCTAACTACCCTTGTGTATGTTGAGAGTGGAAGAATCCAGTTCACAGGCTATTACTGTCAAGGTTATAGGTTTGCTGCTGGCTTTAGGTAAGACCGTATATAAGGAAGGAACTGGGCATGGGCTAGCACTAGTATGTCCTGTTGCACAGTGTAACATCTAGACAAGGTGACCTCTAGCATGAATTAGTTTTGAGGCCAATTTCTTCAGTGGACTGAATGGTACATCAGAGAATACAGCTGCTGTGGACAGTAGCCCAAAAAAACTTGTTCGCTTCAGTACAAAGGGCTAGACCCCGTTTCATTTCTTACACAACTTGCCTGTGTGCATCCTATTCCAGAGGTGTCTACTTCTAGGATTTAAGTGTAATACGCTCTATAGGGAGAGTCCTGAATAGCAAAAGCTTTGATGGTCCTTGTTTTAACGAGGGTAGCTGGAGATTAAAATGAAACCCTACAAGTATAGTGTGGCCTGATGAATCCAAAGTCTTAGCAGTACAAAACGTCCTTGCTGTGCCATCGTTGTGAAGAAGAGACAAACTCAGACTTCACAGCAACAACATATTGGTTCAGCAAACCTGCAAAGCAGCTTCAGTTTTTATAGTAAAATCCATCCACGAGGATCCCAAAGAACTTGGCTCATTTCCCCCAGCCAGACACCCAACCAGCATGCAGTGCAGCTTGGGCAAAGGGGAAACTTGGTCCAGAGTGCATGGAAAGCCCCTGTGGGATGCTCTCCAAGTTGCATAATAGCCAGAAAGCCAACTGAAAAGCCCCTAGAGGATCAGGTGCTGCAAGCTGCTGCTGGTCTTAGACTTCAATAAAACAAAAGCACCCAGCACCGGGTTAGAGCAAAGCCTGGCATAGCAGACCTGAATCGAGAGCCCTCTCTGAATCTCAGCTGGGAGAAGGATTCAGCTCCCACTCCTGGCTGTGTGGACTGAACATTTTTCACCTGCCCTATCAGCCTTTCTCAGCTGAATGGAAGTTTTCACATTGCTCACATTTGGGGAGTTTTGTGTTTAAAAAAAAAAACAAAAAAACCCCAAAAGTATGTATATGTGTATACACACACACACACAGACTGTTTGGTTTCTTTCATGAGAATTAAAAGTTTCCCTGTTGTTGAAAGTTTTTCTGGTAGGGAGATCCCTGTCCAGCTGCAGAGGAGAAACCATTTAAGTGGAGGCCTACCAGCCTGACCTAGGCGGTGCTGGTAGCTAGGCCACCGTGCTACCGGGGCTGTGGGGTCCCTGAGTACACAGGCAGGAAGAACTGGCATCTCCAAGCGGATTCCAAAAGGCAGCGTGGTCAAAGGTCTGTCTGCTATCCTTGTTTGTGCTAAGGGGTTTGCATCAGCAGCTCAGTCGTGCGACACATCTGGCTTAATAACTGATCTGAAACGTGGGGCATTGTGTAGCAAGCAACACGTGGCTAACGAAAATGAGAGATTAGAGCCCACCAGCCTTGAAGCATCCCAGCTGAAGCTCTGCATTTGTGTGGCTCCCTGTACAGCCGGCATGACTTCCAGACAAATAACAAAGCTGTTTGTTTTCAGCCACATGCCGTGCACCCGAACCCTTGACTGGCTTTGTAATTACAGCCTCTGCTGGCAGGGCTGCTCTATTAACATGTGTCTCCTCTTCCTCCACAACTACTTTATCAGGGTCTGTGGACCTCGGTACTCTGGTGCACATGCCGCATGAATGCTAAACAACCCTCAGAAACCGATGGGGGTCGTTTCCTGCAAACAGCACCGCGTTCCCGGCAGCTACAGCCTTTTTTTTCTTTCTTTCAACACTGTGAACTATTTATTATCCAATGTGGATGTGGTTTGGGACTGCTCACTTGTGCAAGGGTCACCTTGTGTTTTCCCGAGGCAAACATTGCAGCAAGAACATGCAGAAACCAAAGAGACTTCATTTAATCCCGGTCACCCATTCTGATCTGAACGGCTGTCCCTGCTACACCTGTCGTACCCGGATTCATGTCTCTGGTTACCCGAACACATGTTTAGCAAGACGCGGGTAAAAGTCAGTCTGCATTTTGTTTCCCGTGCGCATGGTGCAGTGGTGGCGTGGGGCAGACAAATCAGAAAGAGGCATGGGATCGAATTTTCTTTTGCAAATGGCCTATGGATTAGAAGTACCTTCTGCCTTGCTACACAGTCCAGCAGGGATAAAAGCCAGATGCTTCTGCCACTGTCTTTTTATTCCCTGGGACCCGCAGGCAGGTTTCTGGAAGGCTATTTTAGCCGACAGAAGCAGTTTTTGAGCCCCTCTTGCTTCCCCCAAACATGAAAAAAAATAAGGGGGTACAATCCTCCCCCTCTTAAAAGCCAGAGGATTTTTACCATTAAATCTAACGGGACCAATTTTATTTCATGAGCAGATTCTTTACAAATCATAAGATTTGGCTTAAAAATCATGAGCTCTTGTTTTGAAAATCAAATGCGTTTCTGTTCAGACGTGTTTGCCGGGTCATCTTTAAGCCTTTAAGGCCCTTCTGATTTTTCCACCGCAGCTGCGCCGGCTATGGCTTTAGTGTCCAGTCAAGACAAAGACACGTCTCCCCGAATGAGAAAAAACCAAAAGACTGTGCGTAGCCATCATGCCGGAGGAGACACGGGGCAGCGACGAACGGTGACAACGCCGTTTGGTTTTCGCTTGCGACTCCCACAAAAAACCCCAACGATGGACTCTATCCAGACCTGTAATGCGTCAGGCAGGTCACAAAACATCCATATCCCTGCTCGCAGCCGAGGGGAAGAAGTGACTGTGACGAGGGCCGCGGCGGAGAAAATTGTTTAGTAACCGCGCCTACCACCAAGTTTCTTTGGGCGGATGTGATATCTTTCTGAGTACTTGGCGGGGAAATGTTCTTTGCAAGCTTTTGGGTGCAACGTCCTTAGACCAACAGGGCTGCACAATGTGCAGCCAGCAAACGTGGGACGGGAGCTCAGCACGTTTGTCCCCATTTTACAGAGGGGGAAAACTGAGGCACAAGGCAAAGGCACCAAGGTGCTGGTTTGGCGCTCTCAACTTGGGAAGCGTCCCCCCCCACCAGGGGCGGGGTCACACGGGCGTTTCCCCTCCCCGCCGGACTACAACACCCATCAGCCTCCGCGCGCGGCCCCCCTCCCCGCTCGCCGGGGCGCGGCGCGGCGCCTGCTGGGTGCTGTAGTCCGGCGGCCCCGCTTGACCCGCTCACGTGACGCGGGGCGGGCGCTGCCTCAGGGGCTGGGCGGCCGGCGCTGCGCGGAGCGGCGCTCGCCGGTGCTATGAGGCGGCCGGGGCTCAGCTGGCGCGGGGTGCTAGAGCGCTCTACCTGCGGCTGGAAGCTGGCCCCGGGGCACTAGAGCGCTCTACCTGCGGCTGGAGCGCTGGGAGCGTGCCCCGGGGCACTGGAGCGCTCTGCGTGCGGCTGGAGCGGGGTGCCAGCGCGGGGTGCTAGAGCGAGTGGCCGGGGGCCCGGGCTTGGCCTGGGAGCCATGGGGCATCATGACCGCATGTTCAAAGTGCTGATCGTGGGCGACGTCACGGTGGGGAAGACGTCGCTGGTGCAGCGCTACGCCAACGACAGCTTCAACAAGCACTACAAGTCCACCGTGGGAGGTGAGTCCTGCCCCGCCACGGCCTGCGGGGCCTGGCTCCACGGGCAGCGCACCGACTAACCCGAGCGGAGACGAGAGCTGAAGTTCGTCCGCGAGGTGCAGCTTTCTGCTTCTCCCCCTGCTCGCTTCTAAGCTGCCAGCGCAGCCTCTCCTTCCTGCCGAGGATGCTCGTTTCCCTCTCCTCCTCTGCTTTTCTGGGGATCGCCTTGTCATTTACTAAATTAAAGCATTCCTGTGCTGCTTTGAAGATGGAAAGTGCTGCCCCGCCGGGGAGTGTTATTAAACTTTTCATAGCGGGCTCTTTATCTCCGTCTGTGGTTAAAAAGCCTGCGTATGGTTTTCCCATCCCTTGCAAAGACTTCCTTTGTCTCCCTGTCGAGAGTGACTTGTTGGGCCGGGTCTGCTGGGCTCATCCCAGTACAGGTGCTGTTTGTATCCCCGTAGCTGCTGGGACTCGTAAACACGGCCCGGGAGCTCCTTGTCCCAGGGGCTGCGCAAACCCAGAACCAAAACCTGGGGCCTGCCTAAAGCCCTTGTGAGGGGTGAGGTTTGGCCTGAAGGAGATTTGCAGGATTTGAAAGGTGTCATGGTCATGGGGGGCCTGTTGTAACACAGGGAGGATACCTGGGACACCTGTAATTACAGCACCCAAAGCATGAGTCAGTTCATCAAGGAAGCTTATTTCCTCCCAGAGGTGCAAGTTCTCCCTTTAATAACAAGGCGGCCAGGAGTCTGTAATGAAGAAGAACTCATGGGTGGGGGAGAAAGGAGTTTGCAATGAAGAGCTGCGGGAGGGGGGGTGGGAATTACAGGTAATACTGGGGAGGGAGAGGAAATCGGAGACAGGTGTTGCAAACTTGCTCCACGCCAGGAAGCCTGCAAGTCTGCTGAGTGAGAAGATAGGTTATTTTTGTTCTAAATGTTCACAAGCATTTTTGCACACCTTGATTAAAAGGTGACTAATGTGACACACTTGTCAAGGGGTCGGGTTTTTTGGTTTTTGTTTTAAACGGTCTGAAAAGCAGATCTGTGGTAGTTGCGGGGCTCCCAAAATTGTGATCCAGTCTTGAAACTGGCTCTTATTTCATAGGTAGTCATGTTGGTGTAAGGACATAGGCAGGCGAGGTTCTTTGGGTAAATGTGATATCTTTTATTAAAATGGTTCTTTGCAGGCTTTCGGGTACAAACATCCTTCTTCAGGCAGAGTCTTCCCCTTCTTCAGGGGAGGGTCTTATTCCATCGGCAGTTATCAGCCTATAATTATTCTACACTACGGTATATGGATCACTATTTTACATATGGATCTCAAGGTACTTTACACGCCTTATTTATTAGGCCTCTGATGACAAGTGGGTTAGTATTTTTTTCTAACCTGAAGGGAAGTATCCAGGCATCCTGAGTGTACACACTGGTGCAAAGAGGCATCCAGATGAGGTCCGAGTCTGAGATGGTTACAAACTGAACGGTGAAGACAGGAAGCCAGCTCCTCTCTAGAGCACAATGGTGTGAGCTACAGTTTTATTAAAAAACTCTCTGCCCGACAGCTGCTTTTCAAGGTGCCTCTAATTCGCGTGGTCTTGTTGCTTGTTGTACAGGGGAATATTGTTAAAACAGCTGCCCTAGCAGAAACAAGGCTGTGAACTACCCCACTAGCAAGTCTTGGCCCAGTTTATACCAGTGTTGGGTCTCATCTCTGCTAAAGTCACCTGTGCTGGATGACCTGGTGACTAGCGTACTAGTCCCGTGACATGGCTTTGCTTTCTAGGTCCTCCTAGCAAAGTAGCTTGAAAAAAAAATCCTTGTCTGCAGAGAAATCATACTAGTTATGGCCCGGATAGAAGATGATTGTCAATTATGGTAATCCTCTTTTGAATGCCTTGTAGTCACCCTGCTTCGGTTAAACTTTGGCAGCATGTTAGAATAAAACTCGCATCCTGCATTCTTCAGGGGAGGTCGTTTGGATGAGTCCAAGGGTGACAGGAAAGATGAAAGTTATGGGGATGTTTGTTTTTGAATCCTGTTATAATAAATGAAAGTGCAAACATGACACAATCGTGTGTTCCAGGAAGCAAACATTTATATCCTGTTATGTGTGAATTAAAGGCTGGCTGCATTATTTACTGTTGTTAAATACTTGAGGCGGACAAGGGTTTTTGAGTAAATCTGATGTCTTTCAGTAGACCAACTCAAATAGATGGAAAAATTCTTCTTTGCAAGCTGTCAGGTTAAATACTTGAAGCACTTGAACATCCCGAAGGTGGAGCTGTGCATTGATCTTGGAGCTGAGCACCACCATTGCTGCAGCATGGTTGAATGTAGGCAGGATCTTGGTTGTATTTTGTGAGGATTGGTGTGTTTGAAGGCATCAGTCATCATGCAGAGTGCCTGTAAGCTCCATGAGAGGTGAATAACCTGCAAAGTACAGGAGACACCAAGACTTAATTCACGTGGTTTATGAGTGGTGCACAATGGAGCCCAGCATGGGTGCTTTTCATCCACTTCATTGCACATTCAGCTTTAATCTTTCTGCTGGAGCATCGAGACTGAAGAACTAGGTCAGAGTTCTTAAAACTGGGAGCTTGTGCCCCGCTGGGGTAATAGGGCACAAAGGGCTGGATTTGCCCTGCAAAATGTGCATTTATCCAGAACTTTGATCAGTTGAGCAGCAGGAGGGCTGCAGCCCTTATTTCCCCTTCAAAAAGTTGCATAGCGGCTGACTTAGATAATAGCTCTGCTGGCCAGCTTTCCTCCTGATTGTGATGCATCGAATTCTCATCGCTTCCGAAAAATGTAGGTCATGTATGTGTGCATGTGTCTAAACTCGCTAGGCACTCATTAGAATTGATTTGTTTGGGGGGGGTGAAAGGTGAAAGGAGAGAGTGCCTGAAAGAATATAAAACATTGCTCCAGGCAGCACAAAGTGAAGACAGGCGCCGACAAAAAGAAAAAGAAAAAAGCTAACTCTGGGAGGGTTCTTGGATTTGTGCAAAATCAAGGCTGTCTATTGACAGAGGGCTGGGCTTGTTTTTGATACTGTGATTTATTTTACTTAAAAAAAAAAAAAAATTGTATTGGCATTTTTCTTTTAGCTCTGCTCGGAGTGTCTGAATTAAAAACCTCTAAGCAGCGGAGGAGAGGCCCCATTGGAAGGACTGACCTCTTGTTTTAAACTACTCCCATTGTGTGTGTGAGTGTGTGTTTGACCCTCATCAAAAAGATCTGATTAGTTGTGCCTGCTGTTTTAAACCGTGGGTTAAGGGTACGAAATGTGCAATCTGAATAGCACTTGACTGAATTGTAAAGTAAACCCAGAGGGCTGGGGAGGAGGACAAGGTTGCTCTCAAGCTCCCTCTGTGATAAGATTACCTGTTGCTTCTAGTCTACATTGTTCTGCTCAAGGTTAGACCCTGGGGAGGGGTGTGTTTTCTCTCTCTTGTTTTTCTCTTGTGTTTTTTTTTAAACAAGCCACAGTTCAAGCCTAGCATTCCTCCCCAAAAAGAGCCTTGGGACTCAGGGTCTCTTTTGGGAAACCAAAAGCTTTCTGTGGGATTTTCACAAAATGCCTGTGGTGAAAGCCCTCTAGTTCTGTTGCAGGCAGTGTTGACTTTGGGGAAACAACTTGCCTAATGCTGAACCCTTTGGAGACTCTTCACCTCAGCTGCCTCTTTCGTAATGGCTAAATCTGTGCTGAGAGAGGGGAAATTAGCTGTTAGTCTGAGGTCAGGCAGAAGGCAGGGTAAATGTGCACCTTATAGGATCACTAAATCAGAGATGCAGTGGCACTTTAATTCGAGCAGTGCTTGGAGCTGCTCTAATTAAATCGCTGCCTCCCTACCCCCAGAACACATGTAAAAGTGCTCTCCAGTGTGAGGTACTAAATTAATGCGCATTAGGCTGCACTAGTGT